TTCTGCAGACCTCCCCGGCTGCCGCCAGCGACCATCACTGCCGGCTTCGCTGGGAGGCCAACGCCACCGGTCTCGACCTCCAGGACCTGCTGAGGGTCTCGGTTCCTCACGGCGAGCGGTGCCGGCGCTTCGTGACACCACAGTGGTGGCTTTTGGAGGCCAACGGCTCGGCTCCCAACAGCAGCTGGCCGGAGACAGAGCCCTGCCACGATGGCTGGACCTACGACCGCAGCGTCTTCACCAGCACCATCATCACTGAGGTAGGGTGGCAGCGGCCACGGCGTGGCATTTGGGGCTGGTGGCACATTTCACCCAATCCTGTGTCCGGTTTCCACCTTGAGGCACCGGCGAAGGGTCCACTGTCATCACGACCTTGACTTCTTCCAACTGGAGCGTCTTCCCCACTCAACCCTTGGTGGAGGCACTCAACGCCGTGAGAGCTCAGGACAAGAAAGGGGGGGACGGGGGAGTTGGTGGCCATCAAGGGGGTCCAAAAGGGGCCAGATGACCCCTGGAAGGAGCTTCCAGCCATGGGGATGCTGGGAAGGACGCCAAGTGTTTATTGGCACCTTCTTGGAGTTCCCATCGGCCATCCATCAGCTGTTGTGTTGGATCAACCCTACCGGCCGCCACGGCCAGTTTTGGGGGGCAGGAGGGAGGCCAGAGGGGACCCTTCCCCGATCTCTGTCCCACCCCACGCCCTCGCCCCTCGGCAGTGGGACCTGGTGTGTGGCTCCCGGGGTCTGAAGCAGTTGGCCCAGTCGCTCTACATGGCTGGCGTCTTGGTGGGCGGCATCGTCTTTGGGGGCCTCTCGGACAGGTGAGGGGGGGACACCCCATCCCCGTGGGGAGGTGGGGCAGCATCGTGGGGGTTGTCTCACCCCCTCTTCCCCCTCCTCGCCGCCCAGGTTCGGTCGCCGGTCGCTGCTCACCTGGTGCTACCTTCAGATGGGCACCATGGGGACGTGCTCCTCCTTCGCCCCCACTTTCACCGTCTACTGCCTCTTCCGCTTCCTCACGGGCATGGCCTTCTCCGGCATCGTCCTCAACAGCGTCTCCCTCTGTACGTGGCCACCACCAGCCCCACGGAACCGGCCCTGGGGGACGCTCCTGGGCTGCTCCGTGTCATTGCGTGTCTCCGCAGCTTTGGAGTGGATGCCCACTCGCACCCGGGCGCTTGTGGGGACCTTCATGGGTTACTGCTACACCGCCGGGCAGTTCCTGCTGGCCGGGATCGCCTACGCCGTCCCTGACTGGCGCTGGCTGCAGCTCACCGTGTCGCTGCCCTTCTTCTGCTTCTTCCTCTACTCGTGGTGAGGAGGAGGAGGAGGAGGAACGGCGGCGTGGCTGGTGGGATGGATGCAGGGATGGACAGATGGAGGGAGGGAGGGTTGCACGGGTGGGTGTGAAGATGGATGGATGGATGAATAGAAGGTGTGGGGTGGGTGGAGGGTTGGATGGATGGATGGATGGAGGGTTGGATGGGTGGAGGGGTGGGTGGATGGGTGGGT